CAAAACAAATTGTCTACAGAAAGAAAAATAGCGTCAGTCTTCAACTAAAGAAGAAAGTGGAATCATTTCTTGAAAAGGATTGCAACAGCAAAATGATGCCTGGAAAGAGAGATACTATCACTCGGAACAAAATGAAAAAACAAAAACGCCTTCTGTGTGACAATCTGATTGCCTTACACAAACAATTTCTTGCTGAAAATTGTTGAGCCAAATTGTTCCGGCCGAGACACGTGTTCATCCAAAATTCATGAAAATATGAAATTTCTAGTTGAGAGATTAGTTGATTGCAAAGTCCTTGAAACAAAAAATCTGAACGAAGTATGTGCTAAAGTATGTTGTGATACGAATAAGAAAGAGTGTATGTATGGAGAAGATTGCCTTGGCAAAGTGATATTAATCAGAACATGCAAGTACGGGTGCACAAGTGGGTCAACAAAACAGAAGAAAGAACTATAGAAAAGCCTAATGGTGAAGTACAGAAAATCAATGTCCATGTCACTGTTAAAGGGAAAGAACACATGCTTCTGCACCAGTTACTGGATGAAACATCTCAAAGTTTGAAAGGTAAGTTTTGTAGACATGTGTGCAACGTATTCGATCAATACAACATACTGAAAAATCTGAAAGATGGCTTATGTGAAAACGAGGCCATAATTCATATTCTCTGAGAATTACGCTTGCAAGATGGCTGATGAGGTTCAGTCGATGCATTTTGGCGCATCCCGACACCAAGTTGCACTTCATACTGGTGTGTACTATACTAAAACAGACACCAACTCTTTCTGTTCAATCGCTAAAAATACCCGGCATGATCCCGCCGCCACATGGGCACACCCTGATCCAGTCTTTAAAGACATAAAGGTTTCTAAATCCCAAGTAGACACGATTCATATTGTAAGTGATGGGCCGACGTCTCAATATCGGTCTAGAAAAAAAATCCATTTGTTCAAATCTCGCATTCATTCAGCGTATGGCTTCAAATACGCCAGTTGGAATTTTTCTTAATATGGCCATGGAAAAGGCGCTCCTGATGGCATCGGAGCAACCATTAAACGTTCTGCTGATAAAGTAGTGGGTTATGGCAGATACATCACCGATGCAAATGTTCGATGTTACCATTCCAAGTACAGTTAAAGCAGTCCCCGGTACAATGTTCCTGCATCAGGTTTTAAGCGACCGGGGAACACCCTCCATTAAGGTAAGATGCCTTTTATGCTTTTGTAAAAGGCCACGTGAATGCGACTGTTTCGAGCCGAAAAAGGTTCACATTACTGAAGAAAATGAGATAGAGCATGTAAGTGAAGGTCCTACCAATATAGAAGAGGTGGCCTTAGGAAGTGACAAAGGCAGGTCTGCTGAAAATCAAGCAGGTCATGTGGAAGCCTCAATATCTTCAGCTGGGCTCATCCAGTTACTGCAAGAACCGGATCAAATTGGTAAGTGGTGTATTGTTGAGTATGATGGGAGACCATATCCAGGCATTATACAGGATATAGATCATGATTCAGTTGAGGTCAAAACGATGCACTGCATAGGAAAGAACAGGTTTTTTTGGCCGTTGATTGATAATGTTATTTGGTATATTTTTTCTAGCGTCATTACAATGATACCAGAACCCACCCAAGTAACCAAACGTCATGACCAATCAGATCCTGGTCTTTGGACTAACATTTGTAAACATTTAGATTTAGATTGATATTTGGTATTGTGAAAGTTTTTACGTACTTTGTATGTAAACAATTTTTGTTGTTATTATTGATTCAATGTAAATACGTTTGTTGTTTCCTGTTATTTTTCATACATGGTGTTTGTTCCACAAGTTGATAAATAAGATTTCTAAATTTAAGCAAAATGTATAATTAATTGTATTTTGTCGTCCAATAGTCTACAAATGACCACAAATATCAGTACCAACACACGCTTTTCATACCGTAACGATGGTGTCTTCACCGTCACAAATCTTAAAATTGTGCTGAATGAGACATTTGGATTTGCATTGTCTTAAAAACATATTTTGGACAATGTATCAAAATATTTATATTTAGCGAAAGCAATGGAATAGTTTGAGCTCTGATTTTTACCTTAATATCACTATGGTAGATGAATAAAATTGCTTATTTGTTGGTGACATTCCGTACCGCTACATCAAAAGAAGAGTAAAAATGTTAAATAAAGAAAATTTGAAAGAAATAATACTACTGTGGTTTGATTTATATCGTACATCAACGGAGGAACACGAAATTAGTTTGAATCTGTTTTCAATACCAGAAATATACCTTGTTTTCTTTTGTAATAAGATCGTGATGGTATGGAACTTCACTTGACCTTCAGCAGTGTTTCAAAGGACTCAGCATTGATCTTGACAATTTGTGTGCGTGGCCAACTATTGTAATTCATAAAGTGAATTATAGTTACATACATAGGATCTAAAATCTAGATGTTTTGAACCAATGGACAACTGAATTTTTCTGGTAGCGAATTGTAAGACCTATTGGGAGAATAGGCCACGTACTTTACTATAGCTAGATACATCAATGACGTCGTCAAAACCACCCCGTCAGTCGAATTACGTACTTTACTATAGCTAAAAACATCAATGACCTCGTCTAAACCAACCCGCCAGTCGCATTACGTACTTTACTATAGCTAAAAATATTAATGACGTCGCCAAAACCAACCTGCCTATAGCTAAAAAATTACACAGGATACTTTATATAGCAGAAAAAGTACTTTACTATAGCTAAAAACATCAAATGGCAGTCGAATTACGTACTTTACTATAGCTAAAAACATCAATGGCGTCGTCAAAACCAACCTGCCAGTCAAATTACACAGGATCTATTGCAGAAAAAGATACAGAAATGGCAGGGACATAGATGATCTACGTCCCTGGAAATGGTAAGTAAGCAAAAAGTGATCACATCACGCACTCCAGCAAATTCCAAGATGGAGGAACTTCCTTTGAAATCTCCCTCCCCCGTATCCCGATATCATCACACAATGTACATGAAATTTGAAAGTTCCTCTCAATTGCGATAATAGTTTTCAACTGACAATTTCATGACGGTCGTCATTTAGTCATTTTCTTTATCAGCCCCAAAATCTTATGGGAGTTAAAGAAATCTCCGTTTGAAATTAGAGAACGATCCATTCGGTACTCCACAGTCCGGAGACGTATATATCACGTCTATATACGTCTCTGCTCAGTCTGATGATCGCAAATCATGATAACATTCTTTCAATGCGGCAATCCACAATGACCGTCTTTCAGCCATTTTGTTTTTCTGACCATTCCCACAATCACAGAACCGACATATAAAATTTGAGGAAGATCCATCCATTTTCTCTCGAGAAATAGCGATAATAATCTTTCATTGTCAAAAGTTGGTCGGCCGTCAGCCATTTCTCTTACTGATCAGTCCCAAAATTAATGGAACACAACTAGGGATCAGGGTTGCAGGAAACCTGTATATGAAAAAGAAAAGATCCGTTAAGTACTTCTCAGGAATAATAAAAAATAACCATTCAATCAAGTGATGTCGAATCATAGATGACAGTCCAGCAGCTATTTCATGTTAACGGACGGCGGCAATTTGAACATTCATCAAGTTCATGTGATGCTGGATGGACCAGAAATGTTGATAAACGTAAAGTAGGAGAAAAGTTCTTAGACTGAATAATTATAGGTTGTATGTCCTACTTATTTTAGGCGAAGTATTCCAAATACACGGGAACCTGCAATTATTGAAATTACGACCTAAATAGACCTTATTAACATCTAAGAAAAGTTAATCACAGTCAGGACGAGTGACTCCCCTTGGACAACAAGATGACAAATGAAATAAGAAAAAAAATCTGTCAAAGGTGATACATACACGAAAAGGGATATTCAATTCTAAAAGAATAATCACTGGACAAAATTTAAACATTTTTTATTTTAAGAAACTGACAAAAATCTATAGGGCCTTCAGAAACTCCGATTTTGACCACAAATCAATATATTAAGATCAATATTTGTTTTTTGTTCTAAAACTAATGTTTCTTTTACGACACTGAACTTTCTCCTACAGACTGTATCAACGTCCCTGGTATCAATAGTGAAAGACATATTACTTTACTATATATAGTTGGCAAATTTACGGAACTATGTGAGTACAAGTATATTTACAACTTTATATAAATTCTCTTATGTCATTATATCTGTCTAGTTTTACAGTCACCTGAAACTTTATACAAGACTCGCGGCAAGATTCATAAAAAATGACTATAGATCAAGGGAGGAGGGATGTGTCACTCGGATGCTGGAGGACCTGAAGCTTCTATCACCTTCAGACAAGGCGCGCGCAACAGAGTGATCTTCATGTATAAAGTAGTGGAGGGGTTACTACCATCTATACCCCCAGAAAATCACCTTACAAAACAAAGGCCGAGGAGAAATGTTAGAGCTAAAAAATTTGACAGCTACATCTCAGCAAACATGGTAGAAAAAAAGGATCAACAACAACTCAAAACCCTACACAGTACCAACACACAACTGTGAACAGTACAGGGACTCTTTCTTCGTGAGAACAGTCATCGATTGGAACCACCTGGATGACAAAATAGTATGTGCCCCAACATTGGAGGCATTCAAGGGCGCCGTCGGGCATCCTTAACTCTCTCATCCGTTGTATTAAAACCGGAAACGGGATCTACAACGTACCGATACAGATACAGATACTTCTCGTCCCTTCGTCCTTAATATAATGATATTGCATAAGACAGTCTTACAAATACTTTAGTACAAATAGTATACGCAAATATTTATCGCATCATTCCACGCCCCATTCCTATACTAGTATTGCTTTTCTATCAAAAACGTCATGAAACACGATATATTCCAGCTTGGTAGCGATTGTTTCTCGATTCATCTTTGGCTTTTGGCAACTTGACAATGACAAAAAAAAAAATAAATAAAAACGATGCAAAAGTGACAGAATTATCGCCCTTGCGTCAAGATGGCCGCTTAATCCACGAAAGGTTGGAACACACCAGTAGATTACAGCCTTGTCAACAACCGCCATCGTGGCAGCAATAAGGTAGTTTATGAATATGAGACATACAGTGTAATTTGCACTCCGACAGATCATTGTATGTCAGCTTAGTATTGGCATGTACATGGTCGAAAGTCGTTTTACCCACAGACATGTGCAGTAATATAAACGTAATATGTACGAACTACAGAATATTTCTGAAGCCAATAAGAGATAACCTGCTTAGAATGTGGGGGCATGTTTCGGACTGTTTGCATTTCTGAAATGATCGTCACTTGTGATTTTCACTTTTACGCGAATTCATCTGTAATGACGAAAGGTCATGGCCAATAGAGTACAAAATATACAAAAAAAAAAAAACAACCTGAACCTGATAATAACTTTATTGGACGTGCAAGACATATCTAAGTCCGTTGAAGGAGCAACGCAAATTTAACTTGCGAATAAAAATGGTCACAGGTGTGAGATATGTCAAAATGACAACTTATCTGAAACACTGATAGCCCTAGAAATATATTTTATCGGTAGCTTTCCATTGAAAAAGTCCTACAAAGTTTGTGAATATAATTCCTTTGACACTTTTTCAATGGTCACAGGGGTCAACTATATGTATGAGAAAATCTTCCTACAACTTTTTCTGCAGAATCAAAATGTTGATGTTGGACAAAAAGCTTCATTGAAAGGAATTAAACAAAGTTTGTGAATAAAAATTATTCTGACCTTCTTTCAAAGTTCCAGGAGGTCAGAGAAGTTATCTTTAGGTCAAGGAAATGTATGTTTTCAAAGATAGCTTGCTATGTCAGGTTAGCATGAATTAGAAGTAGACACACAAAATGGCATTTGGTGTGTAGAATAAAACTTTTTATAACAACCAGTAGAAGATAAGAGTATAAAGTTTTGATGACTTCACGGTGTACGTAGTGTCCGAGATAGTAAGAAATTAACCAACTTTCCGGCTGTACTCTAATCCTATTTACAGTTAGGCAGAAAGTAGTGTGATGAGATGGTAAACAGATTATAGACCAAAAAAATACACAGGATAATAATGTAATGTAGTCAGTATCTATGCTAGTTATAAAATCACAGATACCATAAGGACCCCATAACACAGAGGATTTACATACAAGACATCACCTTCGATGAGGAAAAAAAATTGTAGGGTAAAAACTTCCACAAACAAGCCGGAATACATTAAGGGCAGGAAAAGTGAGATGGAACACAAGCACTCGTTTTTACAGACATACCAGTCTAGTTACACTAATGCTTCTCCAGCAAAAAGCCGTGTAAAGAAAATCTTTCTGTCAGTTTTGCTCTCAGGAAAATTATCTTGAGCAAAACAACCTTGCTATAGTCAAAAACATAATTGACTGATCTTCACAGCCATACAATGAAAAATGATGTATAATACACTAGGATATATAGATACAAAAGGATAAACTCTTATAGAATAACTTTATCATACGATAAGGCGGTGTAGGGGGGAGGAGTGGGTTTATTGTAGGACAATAAAATCAAGTTGTTTTGTGATTTGCTTGTAATGTGATGTGAGAAGTGAGAAGACTCATGCAGTGGACCTGTTACAGGATAAATACCATAGCAGACATAGATAACTAATATTTTCTAAAACAGATGCTGCAGATTTGGTTCCGGACCGATCAAGCCTGTACATGTCACAATTTGTAACATTAATTGATTCCCTGCAGGAGAAGATTAGCGGTTGAAGATCTTGGACGTGGGAAGGTACACTGATTATCATTATAAGATTCTCTTTGTAGTAGTTAACTTGATGTGTATCATTTGGTAAATTTCAAATTAAGTTGAGCTGGATTTGAAGTTGAGAACTTTGAAGTGACTTATTCTTTTAACCTAATTATTATTTTGATATTAACCTTGATTTGTGATTTTTATTTTCTTTTCTTGTTAGAGAAGAAGACATTCAGCCTATTTTTAACAATTGCGAGAAGCAAGATTCATACAAATCGTATTGTCGCCATTTGAACAGAACCTTCTACACATCATTTATGAGAAAGAAGATTCCATTTCAACAGAACTATGAACCAAAGCTCAATCAGACTTTGGAAACAGCAGAAGTTTGTTTCAGTTTTCAATCGAAGGGTGACAACTCATACTTTGAAACGAAGGGAGATAACTACTGATGTCAGGAAAATCCAATATCCTTTCCCTAATAGTGTGACAGATGTAATTGACATGAGATCAGAAGAGTTGTATAAAAAGAACCATATTCCTGGGGCTATCAATATTCCTTTGGTCAGCATTGTCTTAGGAAAGAAGCACAACACCAAATGGAAAAAAAGTGATTATTTTGCAAAAAAAGACATGGTCAAGAAATGCACAAACCTTTCATTGAGTGAATATTTCATTAGAAAGAAGTCTCCAAATTTCCATCCTCTTGTTTACTGTGAGGCAGGAGGTTTGGTATCCAATATGGCAGTTCATATTGCAACAGAGGCTGGATTAGATGCTTTGTATGTGTTGGAGAAGGGCTATCTCTTATATATGAAACAGGTAGTCGAGGATCTCAACAGGCTACCACTGCAGTTCACTTTCAAAGTTATTTCAGGTAATTGATAAACACTTTTCACAAACATATGCATGTATGCCAAGAAGGTTTCTAGAGTATGTTACATTTACTTTATGGATAAAGATAAAACATGAGAAAGGGTTGTGTCACATGTGCACACAAGTGACATCTCTGCAACCTCTACTTAAAATTACAAAAACGACAAAATACAGGTTTCCAGAGCACACATCTCAGTCACGCTTCATATATATATTGACCAGACTTGACCATAAATTTACACATACAAATATAAAAAAGAAAACGAAGCATATTACCAATTTTCTGAGCACATGTTGGTCCACATATATGTTGGCTATTTTCCTGCACATATATGGACATCAAACTTGGGAAATATTTGAAAATATGAGAATGCAAAATGGTATGTTCTGAAGTGGGGTGCACTGTAACCATTTCTTGACCTTTGACTTTCAAAAACATGTATGGACCTTAAATTTAGGAAATGTATATAACATGAGAATGTAGTGAGTCACATACCAAAATGAGGTCATTGCAACTGCTACTTGACCTTTGACCTTTACCATAAGTAAGTGATGACATTTTTTTCCCCAAGAATTTATATATTTTTTATTGGAAATAGATCAAACTTGGTTAAAATTGTTAATGTAGAATGACATTTGAATTTTATGTGCAAATTGATCCTGGCTGACTCCCAGTGGCTGATGGGTGTGGTCAAAAATGGTAATATTGACTAATTTAAAATATTGTCTTTTCAATACCGAAATATGGAAGAATCCAATACTCCTCATGGATGTAAAGGTGTTAAAGTGCCTTTTTCTGACTGACCACATGGAACTGATTGGCATGGTCAAAAAGGATCGAACTGACTAAAATTTCAAAACTCTTTTCAATATCCAGATATTGTAGAATCAAAGGGAAACTTTGAAATGATTGTCTATTATACACATTCATTCCAAATGTTTCATTTTGTGAGATCACTGGGGTGATTGTTAAGGCCCCTGGGCCTCTTGTTACATTTCAGAGTGGTTTTTCCCCCTCAAAAAAATTAAAAAATTGGATGTCAGGAATCTGAGATACATCTGTTGATTTTTTATTGATGTTGAATACACAGATTCATCCTTTATAACAATGTTTATTTTTGTCAATACTTTTGTTTATTATCCCTGACAGGTTTCACAGGAACAGGAAAGACATTTCTACTGAACAAACTCTCCGAGGATGGCCATCAAGTTCTCCACCTTGAATGCCTTGCCAAACACAAAGGTTCTATGTTAGGTCTATGGTATGGAGAAACTCAGCCACACAAAGACCACTGGCTAGCCCTATTAAGAAATGCTCTAGCCAGTTTTGACCCTTCAAAGCCAGTATGGGTTGAATCAGAAAGTCAGCGTATTGGAGCATTGTATATTCCTCCAGTTTTGTTCAAACAAATGTGCAAAGGAGACAGATTTAAGATTGTCCTTCCAACAGAAGAAAGGATTAAATGTTCGCTAAGGGATTATCCATATTGGTTGGAAGATAAAGAAACTTTGATACATATTGTACGGAAATTAGAAATATATCGGGGCAAGGAAAAGGTGAATAATTGGATTACATTGATCAAGAGTGAAAGATGGGAGGAGTTTGTTCATCTGTTGCTGGTAGAACATTATGATCCTACCTATAAAATATCTCAACAGAAAAATAAACGGACAAGCAATGAGGTGGAAGTTTTTATGGAAAATCAATCTGATGAAGTAGTGAAATCAACTCTGGACTTTTTAACAAGATCACAAGCCTATTTACAGACTACTTGATACTCCAAACATTTGATAAAAACAGATTTCATTGTGTTTGTCATCAAACTGAACTTGATTGTGTGCATGATATGTAAAGAGTACAAAACTTAGTTGTATGTTTCACAATAAAAAAAAAATCATTTATCACTTGAATCCAGTTATGTTTTTGTTGAGGATGAGAAAAAATACTTCAAATGAACCTGTTTTCTATATAACTGGGGTCCAGCTTGATAGATTTATCTTAGCTATTCTATATTCTCTAATTCTGAGTATGCATGTCCAATATTATGTACCATACAGGTAAAAAATGAGTATAAAAACATTCTATCTGCAATTTTATCAACATTTTGTTGAAAATGATGGTTTAGTATCTTCAATTCAAATTGAAATCTTAGAACTACATGCACGTACACTTCATCTTAATAATTCTCTTAATATGTACTTCGATTAATGGTCTTCTGTTTAGTACATATTTTTCTTCGGTTATCAATTTATTTATGTTTTTTGTTGGTATAAGCCACTTTCAAACACCTGTTGTTCTCTTCTAGATACAGTAGTAGAATAAGTATAACAGTTATGTTCAAATAACAAACACAGCTGATAAATTACTACATCTTCTCACTATTTCTACAGCACAAATTTTTATGGAGTTGTTGAACGATCATCAGGTGCACTAATGCTTGACAACACCTTCAAATCTCAGTCATGATGGCCTTTATGTTAAGCGATATCAAAACAATAATTTACCATGTAGTATTACAGAGGAGCAACATCAACCCTTCAAATACAGTGGAGTTCAAACTTAGGCAATTTGCGAGAATCATTGTGAAAGAGAGCATGATCAGAGACTTCACTTTCTCCTCAGTGAATATCACTTTTCTTCTGGGTGGAAAGATTCTTTTATGAACCTGAATTAAAGTCAATAATAGTATAAAACCTATTCCAAGCAATCAAGTTGGTATGTGTTGGTTGATATTATACCTTATATGTATAAGTCCTTACTCTCATGCTTGATGACCTCATCTTCTAAATTTGATTTGATTATACAGCTAAATTCATATTAATAATTGCAATTAGAAGAGAGAGGCTTGTGGCACAGAAGGTGTAACGTGTAACTGTAGTAAATGTGATTATGGCTTCGTGGAACAAAATATGTTGAATTAGATAGATACAAGTCACTGGCCAGAGTTCATGTATCTTTAGTCCTATGAAATACTTTTAGTACAGGACTCAGGCTCTCTTGTTGTTTGAGCACTGTTTGTTTATACACATGTATATCTGATTTTTACTCTCCATATACTTGTGACATCACAGATAGCATTATATTTTTGACCACTATGATATGGTGTATGTCATTAGAAGTTAAGTAATATTTCGTGTTTGAAACTTTTCAGGGTAGTCATCCAGAATGACATTACATCACCACCAAGTATGGAAAAGACTGATGTGTCCTTGTCTGACCTCATCACATTGGCTCACAACCAACTCCATCCGTTTGAAATCTTCCAGAATAATTAGAACCACTGACCCATTTTACCGCGATGGTATTTCCAGGGTTATTGATGTGAGAAGTCCAGAAGAGTACAAAACTGATCATATTCCTGGAGCCATCAACCTTCCAATCCTCTCGCTGGAGCAGTTCCAAATTGTCGGAAAACTGCACTGGGAGGCACATGAAGCTCAGCAGTCAGATGAGACAGTTCGACTTAAGGCAAAACTGTTTGGTGCTAAGTTTTCTCTACAAAATATTATTAATATCCTAGATTCACACTTCATGGATAAACCACAGAGTTACACCCCCTTCATCTACTGTAAACGTGGGGGACTAAGGTCAAGGTCATTAGCCACTGTTCTTGAAGAGATAGGATACCCAGTGGTCCTGTTAGAAGGTGGCTACAAGGCTTATCGTCGAAGAGTTATTAGTGACCTGAATGAGATGCCGCTGAAATTCAGATTCAATGTTGTAACTGGTAGGTATATATGTATATTTGGTGAATATTACTGTAAATGTAACTTGTTATCTCGCAGAAACTATCTGAAAGAACAGGATGTTTTGAGGTTACCTGAGACAAAGTCTCGTAGTGACCTATTGTGATCGCCATTTGTCTAGTATCGCGTGTCCGTGAAGTTTTTACATTGTTTTATTTCTCAAAAACCTGAGAACCAAACTTCAATGAAATTTTGCAGAAAACCTTACCTTGCCAAAGATGAACTAAAATAGTGAATTACATGGTCCCTTCCCTCCAAGGGCCTGAAAGGCAGGGACGAAAGTGGTCAAATTGACTTAAATTTCAAAAATCTTCTTCTCAGTACCCAAACATAGTAGAATAAAATACTAGTCACGAATGGAAGGGTATTAAGGTGACTTTTCTGGCTAACTCCCTGGGGCTGATGGGCATGACCAAAAAGGGTCATATTGAATGAAATTTCAAAAACATTCTGAATACTTAAACATTGTAGAATCAGACACTCTTTTCTTGGATTGATGGGTCTGAAAGTTAATTTCTGTCCTTGTACATATAGCATTTCTCATTTTATCTTCTCTATACTACACTTTCATTCCTATTGTTTTTGAGTTCACTCAGGTGAGTGTTTAGGCCCCTTAGCCTCTTGTTCCTTCCTCTATAAAAGCCAGAGAGTCATTGGTAATGATGATGATTGTATAATTTGTATAATGGGTTTTGTAAAAACAATGATATAGCATAGAGAAAAGGTAATGATTAGAGAGATGCCTCCCACAATGTTTTGTCTTAAAGTCCCCTTGGAACTAGCATATTCTATTGATTAAAGACTTGCAGGGAAACCACAGTAAAAAGTTCTGTCAAAATCTTGTTTTCCACAGGCAGCAACAAGTCTGGGAAATCCTTGATAATGAGGAAGCTCATTGATAGAGGGCACCAGGTCCTCAACTTCGACAAAATGATTCACTATGAAGACCTCTTCCTTAGCGGTGACATGATACACATGAAAGGTCGCAGTCGGTACATGGAAACCAAACTGAGAGACAAACTTGTTACATTTGATCCAAGTCGCCCAGTCTGGGTTAAGCATCAATTTTGGCAGAGTGATCTGATGAAAAGGATCGCATCAACGTACCATCTTCCCACTCCATCGGTGATCTATAAACAGATGCTGAAAGGAAAAATATTTGAGGTAAAGGTACCAAATGACGAAAAAGTGGAAAGGCTGGTCAGACAAGGGTACCTGGATTGGATGAAAGATGATATAGATACTGTGCAATTGTTCTTGGATACTCATGCTCAGAATATGTATGATTTCCGCACGATAAATGTTATGCAGGCTTACGTTCGGAGTAACAAGTTGAGAGAGCTGTTAGGATGTATATTGACTGAGGAGCACAAACATTATAAGATCATGCGTAAAAGATGGCGCAAGCGATATGCCAATACTCCAGATCTTCTCAAACAGGAATTTTTCGTCTTAGATAGTCTCACAAACGATAAAATTGATGAAATTGTGGACAAATTTGAAAGTATGGCTGAGAGTATATAGTTTTTTAAGGTTTATCAGAGGTTTTGTACAACATAAGTATGTTTTATGAAATAAATCATTTCTGATGATAAAACTTTGGAATGGTTTCTTTTGGAGAAACGGTCACTGCTGGCCAAAAATTTCAGACAAAAACACATTATCTTGAAATAGGAGCATGAACCTATTTTCTCATTTAGTTATAAATCTATAGGTTGGAAACATGTAGATCTATGTAATACAGAATCCATTGTTACATCCTTTGTAATTTAAAGCATTTTGTTTACAAATCGCCACATGTGACCAATCTTAGTGTACAGACACATATATAGATTATATATATATATGGAAATCTCTTCTTTTCTTGGCAATGAATCGTCTAAAATCTCCTCTTGTCAGAAAGGAAATTTTATTTTCATTATTTCTGTATAACACTCAGTTTTTTTTCGATCATTTTGCAAAAGAAGAAAAAATAATATACAGACTGTCCTCTGGTAAATCTTGCATGCTGTTACATGGGGGACCTAGCCGGTCAGATCCTGTCATGTATACACCTGTATACAGGTAATTATTGTTACCTGTGGCAATAGATATATAGATAAATTACTGAAGATCAAGGTAATCCTATACCTGTATACAGGTAATAATTGTTACCTGTGGCAATAGATATATATAGATCAAAATTACTGTATACAGGTAATAATTGTTACCTGTGGCAATAGATATATAGATAAATTACTGAAGATCAAGGTAATCCTATACCTGTATACAGGTAATTATTGTTACCTGTGGCAATAGATATATAGATAAATTACTGAAGATCAAGGTAATCCTATTATAATTTTTTGTAATGTTAAATAAAAGCAAATACCAACCACACTCTGATGTTGAATTAAAAGACTTTAGGAAGAGATATGCCAACATGGTATATAGTGAATTTTTAATATTTCAAGCGGTGTTTCTACCTACAACTACCTAAAAAATGTCTATAAAATCCATTCTATGAAAAAAGACATCCACAACCCGGGACACTAAATCCTTGACCATTTGATCACAAAGCAGATAGTTTTACTTCAGATATCTCAAGCATTATATTATAAATAAACAACTTAGTGTCGTCAACCTTTTATACACAAAGATACACATACTGTAAAGTGAATACACAGTGTACATAGATTATAACTTACTGTATCTTAGGATGTGACAGTGTATATCTGTGTACCCCTACTACAATATATACAGAGATATCTCTGTACCTCTACTACAATATATACAGAGATGTCTGTGTACCCCTACTACAATAGATACAGAGATGTCTGTGTACCCCTACTACAATAGATACAGAGATATCTGTGTACCCCTACTACAATAGATACAGAGATATCTGTGTACCCCTACTAAAATAGATACAGTGATATCTGTGTATCCCTACTACAATAGATACAGAGATATCTGTGTACCCCTACTAAAATAGATACAGAGATATCTGTGTACCCCTACTACAATAGATACAGAGATATCTGTGTATGCCTACTACAATAGGTACAGAGATATCTGTGTACCCCTACTAAAATAGATACAGAGATATCTGTGTACCCTTACTACAATAGATACAGAGATATCTGTGTACCCCTACTAAAATAAATACAGAGATATCTGTGTACCCCTACTACAATAGATACAGAGATATCTGTGTATGCCTACTACAATAGATACAGAGATATCTGTGTACCCCTACTACAATAGATACAGAGATATCTGTGTATGCCTACTACAATAGATACAGAGATATCTGTGTACCCCTACTACAATAGATACAGAGATATCTGTGTATGCCTACTACAATAGATACAGAGATATCTGTGTACCCCTACTACAATAGATACGATACAGAGATATCTGTGTACCCCTACTACAATAGATACAGAGATACAGTGTACTCGCATGTTTATACAGTGTACTGGTACTCACATGTTTGTACAGTGTTGGTACTCACATGTCTGTACAGTGTACTGGTACTCACATGTTTGTACAGTGTACTGGTACTCACATGTCTGTACAGTGTACTGGTACTCACATGTTTGTACAGTGTACCGGTACTCACATGTTTGTACAGTGTACTGGTACTCACATCTTTGTACCGTGTACTGGTACTCACATGGTTGTACAGTGTACTGGTACTCACATGGTTGTACAGTTTGCTGGTACTCACAAGACCGTACATTATCAGCAATTTTGTTTTAATATACAAATCACTTTCATCTGGAACATTAATGTCAAAAGTTTGATATAAGGAAGCGTCAACAATAAAACACTCTAAGTATGTTATAGAATATTGATCAGCAGTTAAGACATTAGATATTAAGATCAAATAAAGAACGTTATGGAATATATGGATTACCATATCATATATACCGAGTGTGTGATTTTTGAAACAAGTCTAAATTTTGAAGATTTAGTGAGCCTTTATCAAACCAAAATAAAAAATTGAGAAGTTTCATCCGTCACATATGAACAGAAACAAATTTCAGATCCTTTTTACTGCAGTTTAGATATCACAGGAAATACGATTTACTGTGCCAATCTTGAAGACAGCTTCACTCCATATCGATGGTCTACTACGTAATTTCAGAATGTCATTGATGATCCTTTTCTGACATTACAATAAATCATATTTGTTAAATACACAAAAATGTTAAACTAGGATGTCACTATCCTCGATACTCTAGGGGTTACAATCACTCTCTGCACACCTGGAACTTGTAATGGCAAAACTGAAGCTTCCATGTATGACATCTTGTGGGCAAAACGAAAAGACCAGTTTTAACCTTTGATGTACATCAAACGAAAGTCAAGGTCGCATAATGGTCTATTGTAATGGTTTGAAGTTGGATGTCACTTCTTCTTTAAAAGAAGTGTATCAGCCTGTGATTGGTCAGTTTTTAGCTCCAGGAAACAGTTTTTGCTCAAGGAACCATTTTAAAATGCTTCACTTGTGCCTTCAATTTTGCCATGACATGTTTTAGGAATGCAGAGAGCAAAAATGATTGTAACCCTTGGAGTATTAAAGACATGATATCCACTTAACAACATACCAATCACGTGATTGGAGCGAATTTTTTATTACGCCTAGTGTGTTGATGTGTCAAGTAATATACAGCAAATGTTCTCCTATTATAGAGATTCCTGCTAAGAATTGGGTTTCGATGCTGATTTCATCTTGCACGAAAACATACTGTAAAATGGATTTATTTTGCCATGAGCAAATTTCACCATTTGGTGTTGAAAACCAAAATATCTTATTTTAGCCATGTCATGGTCAGTGACGAGAAGAAACTAAAATACAACCATCTTTCAATTAAGATTTACTTGTTTGATATTGTCATGTAAATCTTATGGCAGTTAAAATTGAATACTGACAAAAACACATTATGCAGTAATTAGGAGCGCTTTTGCAAACATTCTACATTGTGTGTGAGCTTGTAAATGATGTATGTTTTTATTGATTTTTTTCTACATAATTTCTTTTTCACCAAGTGCGCTTCATACCCTGCAATCACTGTTCCCTACTAACAACAGGTTTTACCAATGACCTTGACCTCTGACCTCGAGTGTGAAAAATAACATTTTTGTGTGTGTGTGCTTTTCCATGTTCTTTCAGTCGTGGGCCAAAGATGAACAGATGAATTAATGCAGAAATTCAACTTCAAATACACAGGAACTTACCAATGGAAAAAAGATAAAGCTGCACTTTAATGGATCCCGTTGAATGTGGCGATATTATGTCAGAGCAAGACCTGTGTCATCTGCTGCCAATACTAACACAATGACTAGGATTTAGTGCTAGAACTTAAATAACTTTTACAACACAAAAGTGGGAAATAAAAGATAAATCTACACAAGAGGATGCAACCCAGCAGTAGAAATGTTAAACTGAACAAATTTATTACTAACAATATCATTAACTTCAAACTCTAAATTTAGGACCTTAAAGTAAATTGTACTGATCTGTTGTCCTGTCTGACAACAGAATTTAGTGACCTTGGGTCTTTAGAGTCATAACTTCGGTATACTTTCAATTAATCTTTTTTATGTTTTTTTTTCTAAACTTGGAGTATCAGTTACATGGTCTTTTTATAGCACTTTTCTACTTTTCCATATTCATCTCCAATGAAATCAAATCTATTGGATATATGTATTCTGGTATAAGTTTTGTAAATATCTTGTATAAAAATGGCAAGAAGTGCCATTACAATGCATGTGTGCATGATAATCTTCTCACTGTGTATTGATTCTTCTGTTGCGGTATACACGGGGAAATTTTCACTGCATATAAGCTTTCACCCATTTATCATTTTATGATAAAGGCAGGATTAGGTGTGAGGTTGCATTTCAGCTGTATCATTTTATGTTTATTTCAGGCAGAAATAAATAGATATTTTTTATGCTTGGGGAAAAATCCTGGTCGAATATTTCCCTGTTTGAATACTTAATAGGGTACTGTAAGACAGTAGCTCAGAGCTGTTGAATTGATCTGTCTACTCATGAGATCCATTTTAATCCAGTATGTTATGTAGTCCAATAATGAGTTAACAAGTGTCATGTATTATTACTATGATTTTATTTTGTATAACAGAGTACGATAACATTCTAATTATAGCATTACAATATGAAGGAGGGACGGGATTACTTATTTTTTTTAATTGGATTTTGATGCCTTAATTGTATTTTTATATTAAAAATTGATAACAAATTTTGAAATGTTTTCAAATATCTTGAAAATATCGTGAAACACTTAAACTTCTCCATACAGTTGTATGCTTCCATCCAAGCAAGCAATTGATATAACTGACAGACTGTTTTGCAGTTGATATAAAGTAAGTGAAAATTTTTGTTTTCCTAAAATCATATTTCATGTGTAACCAATGTACTGTGATAATAAAAATGTAGGGGATTTTTTGCTTCAGTGTAATCTTGTACATTTCACTTAATTGTCAGAATTGGCTTCGTCATATTCTAAAATTTGATACTGTGCTCATATATAAAAAAAAGTATAGACCAGTTTATTTTCTTTCACATTGTATGGGCGTATACAGT